GTCCCTGGTTTAGCTTGGCCTGATTAGTAGTGGTGCATGTGGAGGGACCACGGTTATGATTCAAGCATCGTGCTCTGTCCGCCTGCCAAGGGCCAGCAAAACAGGTGTTGGAACAACAACAATTCTTCAACGAGACTCGGACTCGAGTCAAAGACCATGTCAATGTCGGCTTCCGCGGCGGATGTCTGACGTTATCTCCCCACACACGTGGTCTTGAGCGAGATCTGCAGGCCTGCTTGTCTGACAGGTGTGGTTCGAGACGCTTGTCTCAGCCGTATGATCTTTGAGTGCTTTGTTGACAAGGTAGAGATAAAAGTGGCTGGCTGCGAGATGTGTCTTACAAAACATGCTTCAAACTTACAGCGCTGCCTCGCTGGATGGTGGGATTCTTGAATGGCCTTATGGGTATTCCACCCACTCCTCTTCGGTCTCCAGGACGAAGCTTTACTAAACTCTGTTTAACATTCGAGACCTTGTTACATCGTCCATTCGTCATATACTACCATTCCGCTTGTTCTTAACTCAAACTTACGATCGAGTGATTGGTAAAAATTCCCCGGTAGTTCCGCCCAGCGGATAGCGACCGGACCGCGAGCGGCGCGGAGAAGACGAGCATTGGAGACCTATGTTTCCGCTCCTCAGCGGCTTTCCGTACTCCCCTTTTGATTATCCGCTTGGGGCAGGTGTCGGCATAAATCGTGTTTGAGCTAGTGCTCCGCGCTACGGGCGAGAATAGTAAGCCGGTGGGCTGCTATGGATACGAAGCTCGCTTATTGAGTCGTGGCAGTAGTATTCGTTCCTCTTTGGACTCTGTAGACGACTATGTGGCACATAGTGAAACTTGGAAGTGAAGGCCGCGTCTACCTCGGCTAATAAGTGTTGAGGAGAAACCGATGACAACAAGGATCAAGTGTAATCCTCTCCAAAATGGTCAAACAATGGCGCTTCGTCGGTTTGTGGATACAAAAGAACCTACCGCTCAGCGAGTCGTAAGTCTCCCGATGTGGCCTGACGTTGTCAAATAGCACGGTCAAAGCGCTCAAATAAATTAAGTCGTCCCGCGTGGCGTAATTCCAGCCGCAAGGAAAACCGGGAACAGCGATGCTCTTAGTGTAACTCTATTCCATGCTCAATAATCGGATTCGCACCCTATCGTCAAGGGACGCTCTTCCCGAGGAATACGCCAGTATCCTGGGAGCCGGCAGCTTCCCCGGACCCGATGCCCCTTGTAATCTTGGAGGCTGTCAGCTGACAAGATTGCAGGTCAGCGCTTATCGTAGGCTCGGAGCAGCAGGTGGTCCGCGGCGAATCTCGACTTCATGTATGCGATCAGCCCCAAACGTCTAAAAGGCATGGCACTCGCTTTTCGAGGGTTAGTTAAACAACTTCTTATAGTGATATGTGAAAGACGAGGCGGTCGAGATCGCGCCGAGAAACCAAGTGCAGGGTCCGACCCAGTGACGTGGTCTGGCGATGCCGCGATTGAGTTGTAGATTGACGAATCTCTTCTTCAGTGGGGATAGGTGAGCGATGCCCATCGAAGCACCGTATGCCCGAAACTCCCGGACTAGTTTAAAACATATAACATGTTTTGATTGCAACGAGCAACCAACCCATCAGAAGGGATGTATTCTTTCTACTATTCATTTCGGCGAAAGCCGTTCGTGGGTTATATCAATGGCTGGAAACCAAAGTTTCACGGTACGTACCTAGCAACACAACGTTGAGGCCCTGGTCTCAGTACCTTACCTTAGCGCGGGCACTCGACAAAGTCTAATACGCCGGTACGGTCGATACGCATACTTGAGTTGCGACCTTTGTCTATAAAGGACAAGCTGATGACGAAATCGCGGGCAGCGTGTTTTTCATATCCGCCCTTGTACGATGAAAGATCACGCCAACCTTAGAAGTGACACAATTACTCAATGAATGGCACTTTATCCGATTTCATCGTGCTTATCCAAATTTATTGCTGCTATTCACCTGTGGTTTGACTGCTCTACGACTTGCGCCGGCAGAAGCCTTTGGCTCATATCCATTTATTCAATGCATCGGACTGTGTCGCTTCCTGTCATAGATCGGTTTGTGTCTTCGTGAGCAAATTCAAGATCAATTGTTTGACGACTCACGATAGCGGACGACTTGGATCCAGGGCCTGTTATGTTGAGGCAGGCAAGGCCGTAGCACGTGCCGACGACTTTTATAGGTACATAGACAATGAGTAAGACTAGACCTTTCAACTACTACTACTACTACTACTACTACTACTACTACTACTACTGCTTCTCTCTGGCAAGAGTTTAGTACGAACCATTTGGTCCTGTAGACACTTAGATAAGCGTGATGATTAAGACAAGACTATTACCTACATGCACCACGAAATGTCAACTCTCCATTGGTACCGGTAAACTCCATACGCAATGTTGAAAGCCGTGATGCGGACAGGACTGACGCAAGACTCTAGCAAAAGCGTCCTCATGAATCGAAGAAACACCTGGAGAAGAGAGCTTCAGTGAAGTTCTGACAGAGTTATATAAATTCTCCACAGATGCAAGTGGTGAAGTAGGCCGGCTAAACACGCCATCAACATGCGCATATTCTTTCTCACAGCTAAGTTTCTGTACATCGAAGCTTCTTTAGAGCCACAGCTCATATTGTGATTGTTGTCTATTGTTAGCGAACCACAATATCTTTAAACTTGTTCCATTCCTCAAAATTCTTAGCAGCATGCATCTGGCTTGTTGCTACTTTAACTTGCTGTTTCGAGCGCACGTCAGACCCAGAGTTTAACAGAACATAAAAATTCTGGTCTGCGTTTAATCTACAGGTACGCCGGCTTTACGACGATCTATATATGTTAATGGAAGCACTGATCTTAGTTTGTATCTGTAGAAGACCATCGAAAGGCACGACCATTACAGTAGCCGCTTTGAACATACACCAAACCCATCGAGCAGCTTGAGACACTACGCCTGTTGGCGTGAGACGACTTTGACTACAGTTCCTAGGCCGATTAACCAAACATCAATTGTCATTGCGGAGTTCCGATGATCGAACTGCTCCGATTTCATCTCAAAACAACACGTAACAGCTGGGTGAGAGACTATCAGGGCTGGAGGCCTCTAAGGGCCGAGAACGTGACTTTCAATTCCCTACATAATTAGAAGGTTCGAGAGCATCGGTCACCACCTGCTATCCTTCCCGATAGGTTTCATGAGTACACTTCACTACGAGCTTAGATTCGATGAACATGCGAGGAACTACAGAATAGTTCATCAAAGGAAATAGGTAGCCAGGGCTCCCTCAAGGCGAAATAGTTCGGTTGCGTAATGTTTCCGCTGTATCGTGTCAGGACGGAGCTCGACCATCAATGCGGTCTGGGTCGTAAAAGGAAAATTTCATGTCTGGGGATCAGACGCGTGGAACGTGTTCGAGCCGCATCCCTGCTGACTGGACAGGCGTTTCACGACTCCGCATACTGATTATAAGACGACAGTCCATCCAACTTTCTTTCAGACTTTTGGAGTCTTGGTTCACCAGAATCCTGCAATTAGTCGCTTCTCCAATGCATCGCCCTACCTTTGTCGTCCTATTGAGCAGTGCCCTGGTGGCATGGGCCAAGACCCCCGAGGGCTTCGAGCCCGCTTCCAACGTCGACCTCATTGTTGCATATGGTGAGACGTCGGGTCTTAATGGCGTGGATCTGGCCAAAAGCCGTAGGTAATTTTCTGCTGCAAAGAAAGACAACAGCTAAATCTCTATCTCAGTCACGCAAACGGAGCCTACAGTTGGCACGACCGAACCCTTGACCGGAAAAAGCTACGCAATTATCATGGTCGACATCGATATTCCTACCGCGAGCCCTCCGACTACCGGCACCTTCTTGCACTGGGCTCAGGCGGACCTGACGCCAGCCGCGCAAACCACTACTGTCAAGCTGAACGACGGCGAGCGCGTCATCCACACTCTGACAACCACCTCAAACGCAATTGCGGATTACAAGGGCCCCGCACCTCCAGCAAGAGTTCCCCTTTCGCACCGGTATATCGAGCTGCTTGTCGACACGAGCGACATCACGGCAGACGGAACGGCTGCCCTGCAGACGCTCTCAACCCGCGGGGGTGTTGATGTCAACGCTGTGCTTACCACCGCCGGATTAGCCAACAAGGTGGTAGCCGGAAACTTCTTCACTGTCACCAACCCGGGACCTGCAGCGAACGCGAAGAAGAGCAATTCCACCACCACCGCTCCCACCGGTGCTGTAACACCGTCCAAGGTCCCCTCTGGCATCTCTTCAGGACACAAGTCGACGAGTTTCTCAAATAATGTGCTCCTGACCGCAATGGCAGCTGGTCTTCTGAGCGCATTTGCTAGCGCAATCTAAGCAAAGGCGCGAGTTTCTCAACGACAAATCTTGTCAAGTGCTGGAAGCTTGACTCTTCTGAGACCGGCTTTTCCATGACGAGAACGCGCGGCGCAGGATCCGCCTCTTGTTTCTGGACAGGTTGTCGTCTCAAGTAATGAATACAATAATACAAGCTCAGTTTCATCTCATCTCTGAGCACTCATCCCCTGTTTCACAACGCCTATGACATTGACACTGCGACCTTGGGAGCACAGACGGCCGAAGTGGGGCCGTGGTGGGCCGGAAATGCCGGACAGACACCGCTCGATCTCGGGTCTTTACTCCTTGTCTGATCAACAAGACTCCAAGGCTTTTCCTGCCTGTGAAGTCTCTTTGAAATGGGCACTAGCTTTCGCGAGTCCCTATGAAAATAATGGCATCTAATCACAAACATCTTGTCACAACTCATTTCTTGTTTGTCAGAGACCTAGCTTACAGGTAAGCATGGAATGCCCGCCGTTTAACCTATTTTGAGTGAAACAAAAGAGGCCGAGTCAAAGAATGTTATTGAGATCCCTCAACCCAATCACGAGACAAGACATTGAGTCACAAGGTATATTACACGAGCAGAGTCTTCCTTAGTGCTGCACGTGGAGCTCAAAAAGAGAGAAATGGCGTTGCTGGCCCACTGTGGCTGACAGATTGATGTCAATGGGCAGGCAACTCGCGTAAAAGTCGCTGCATCTCGTCACCTGCATGATTTACTGGATTGTCTTTATCAATCAGAGTGCCGGATGAACATGTGGGTTTGCTCCGAGAAGATCTCATCGCTGATGATGCCCGAAGGGGATTTTATTGCAGCTTACTTATGCGGGTTTTGCCTCCTCCCAGCAGAGCCAATGGAGTTGAAAGCAATTACGGCGGCTGCAGTCAGCTTGACTATCAATGAACCACACCACATCACTTCGAAGTCGTCAGTATCACAGCTAGGCAACGGCTATCGCGTACTTTTCTCGTCAGATACCCAGACAATCACTTGAATTGGATAGTCATGGCTTCCAAGACATCACATCGAAAACCTTGGCGGTAGTGACAATGCCAGAAAGCCACACACTTCAAAGCGCGTATTACGCGTGCCGCCTGTTGCTTTGTCGAGTCAAAAAGCAAAACTGGTGCAGCCCTCGCAGGATTCCATGCTTTTTCTCAACAAGTTGTCTCAAAACCACGTCACCTTGCAGGAAACACTTTGTGCAAGTGATCTCTTATGGCGAACTTACCCACAGAGCCCCGTTTATCCATTTCCATTACAGGAACCCCGGTAGGCAGCTCAGTAGAAAGCGGCGAAATGATACCCGATAGCCCATTTACACGTCTCTCGGCCTGGTGCCCGGCAGAAGTACTTCAGAGACCACTTTTCTACGATTCAGTTGCCGAACCTAGCAACATCTAATTGACTCAGCGGAAGATGCAGTCAGCGTCACACAAGCACGCCAATCTTTGTCTGCTCTAGCAAGATATCCGATCGGCTAAGACGACGGGCGGGACGGGACGCGGTTGCAAGGGAACCACTGTGCCCCACTCTGTGACAGGCATGCGCCAAGTAGGTTGCTAGACCGAGGAAGACAGATCAGATGTGCGAAGTGAAATGGACTGCCAGCAGTTATGATTAGGCTTTTTGTATGAATCTCCGATACCACGCGTTTGCCTCTCTCTTTCATTATACTTAACTCGAGACTGGATCCGTGATCCTCCATCGTCGATTCTGGTCAGTTCATGCCAGAACATTCGCTATGACAGTGACAACGATCGATTTACCCGTGCTGGGTAGCTACCCGTCACTTATTTGGATCATTCCAGCGGCGTTCCTCGCATTCAAGATCCTCACCTTCGGCAGTAGAGAGAAATATCTTCCGCCCGGTCCACCAACTCTTCCCATCCTTGGAAATGCTCATCTGATTCCATCGAGAGGCATGTACACCAAGTAAGTACTAGCCGGGCCCATGAGAGTTATCCTTATCGCTGATCAAGAATAGACTCAAAGAGTGGGCTGATCAGTATGGATCGATCTACTCTCTCAAAGTCGGGCAAAGCACTATGGTTGTGCTTAATGACAGACATGCCGTTCACGAACTCTTGACATCAAAAGGGGCGTATTACAACGACAGACCAGTCGATCAGCAGTATGACCTCGCTATGCGTCAAGAGAATACTTCTTTGATGCATGATGGTCCTGTATGGAGAGCAGAACGGAAGATTGCAGCCACGTACTTCTCCCCGAAGAATCTCGATGGCGCACTAAGGGGAGTACAAGAGTCTGAGTAAGTTTGGAGCACAAATGCAAATGATTGCATATAGCCCCCAGAAGCATTGCGTCTAACGTGGGCAGGATTTCTTTCTTAATGTACGACCTACTAAAGAAGCCTGATGAATTCATGAAGAGCGTGAAAAGGACAACTGCTTCTATCGCAACCATCACAATATTCGGCCAGCGTGCTCCCAGTTGGGAAAGTTTCTGGGCATATGTAAGTCCTTCCTCCTTAATTCAGGTTTGTCAATTTTGTTACACAAGCTAATCCGAACCAGGCAGTTTACATCGCCATGGATGGGGTAAGCAGTTCCATCATTGTCTTTTTCCGAAACTTCTTTTCCGAAGCTTGGAGAAGAACTCAGCTGATTTTGTGAAGGTTTCCACCATTCTCGAGCCTGGTTCTTACCTACCTGTGGACCAATTTCCTATTCTCAAATGGATTCCAGATCGTTTAGCCAAGTCCAGGCAACGTGGAAAGGAGTTATACCACACCATAACAAACATCTGGACCAAAGCTCGCGAAGACGTGGAATTGCGGCGGAGCCAGGGTACCAAGAGGGAGTCTCTCATTGACAAACTTCTCGACGAAGAAATCAAGTGCGATGTGCCCCTCAGCTACACAGCGTTCAATAACTTCCTAGGAGGCCTGCAGATGGCAGCTGCCGATACCACAGCCACAGCGACCCTAACGAATATTTTGCTCCTGGCGAAGCACCCTGACGTTCAGGAGAAAGCAAGAGTCGAACTCGACAGAGTCTGTGGCACAGAAAGATTTCCCAATTGGTCTGACTTCAAAAGCTTGCCGTACATTAATTGCATTGTGAAAGAAGGGTTGCGAGTGAAACCAGTGTGAGTAGTCTGATCAGTGATCAACCCGTTCCGAGTTCGAGCATGATGCTAATGTTAGGCAATGCACCTAGAGTACCTACCGGTGTACCTCACGCGTCCAAGCAAGACCGATGGTACGGTGACATGTTCATCCCAGCTGGCTCCTCCATCTTCATTCCAGCATACGCACTCAACCACAATAGCGACTTGTCGCCGGACCCTTTCACCTACGACCCAGACCGCTACATCCCTGTCGCCGACAAACTCGCACCTGAACTCGCCGCTTCACCCAAGTACGAAGAGCGTGATCACTACTCGTACGGTGCAGGGCGACGAATGTGCGTCGGGCTGCATCTCGCTGAGCGGTCTCAATGGCGTATGGTAGCACAGATTCTTTGGGCATTCAAGATTGAGCCAGCGATTGGGTCCGATGGGGAGGAGGTCGAACTAGATTCGAGCCCTGAAGGGTACATTGAGGGGCTTCTGCACACCCCTAAGAAATACAAGGTGAAGTTTGTGCCGAGGAGCGAGAAGCATGTCGAGGTCATACGACAAAATTTCGACGAGGCCGTGGAGTTTTTGAAGCAATGGGAGTAGGCAACTATCTGAGGCTTTATAGACACAGATCTGTAGTGTGCCTGGATATCTTCGACCTCGTGCACATGTGGAGGCTTAGTTTGAGATTTGAAAGGGGCTCAGCAAGTATGATTGAAGTTTGTGTACTTGGGAATAAGTTCTATCCCTAATGTAAATTATGTGTTTCTTTCGTCACTCAAAGCCTTCGGCTACTTATTCTGGGCGATTGAGTGGATAACCTCACGGCTATTTCAATTACCCTTCGGCTCCCGGCCTTCGGCTCCCGGCCGATGGGAATGGGCCTTTCCAGGTGCCTCAACCACTTCGGTCGCGTTCTTTTGAGCGGTGTGTCCAAGATCAGTTGTAAGTCTTCGATAGCACTGGCCCATCGCACGAGTTCTTTTTCCGCAAACGCAGTTTGCATGATTCCCAACCCAAAAGGCATACCGGTGTCGGAATATACTCCTGCCGGGATCGTGATCATCGGGTACCCGGCCTGCGCCGCTATCTGGTATGTCTGGGCTACTGAGATAGGCACGAGCAAGCCTGACAGCCGTTTTCCATTGTGACTCTGTGCAGCGTCGATGCCGCCACGCGTGGTGTTCTGCATGTAGTTAAGGGCCTGCCAGTAGGTATCGTTCCGATCTCCTTGCGTCTCGTTAGACATTAAGAAGCCATCTTGTCCAGACCGGAAAGCTGGAAGGCCGTGGTACACTCTGTAACGTCCGGGCGTTGTGTTGCCCCCATCAAAGAGTTACCCTCCTTCGGTCCCGTCGTTCTCGTAGTTGAATTTGATGATATCTTCGAGCGATCGCATTTTCGTGTTCTGGAGTTCAGAGAGATATTTCTTGATGTTGTTATCGAAATCAACCAGAACGACGGTATACTCCGATTTTTCAGGGTGACCTATTTTGCCTTGCCAATTCCAATCCCAGCCTGCTTTATTCACAACAGTCACATGATTGGTGATCTCAGTACCGTTAATGATGGTGCCGCCATTTTCCTGGATGAGGTTTATCAGACTGCCAAGCTGTGCCTTGGTTTCTTCGTTCGCGATGGCCCAAAAGCTGTTCCATGGGATGCCGAATGTCGCGTTGTGCAGGCAGTCTTTTTGTTAGATACTGAGCATAACCACCCGATATAGGCGTCTTTCCAATCTGAGCTTGGGAGTAGTTGTCTCTTGGATCGTTATCGTAGATAGCATCAAGGGCGTACACTGCGTCACGGACAGTTCGACCGAAGGTGCCGACCGTGTCTTGATGTTCGCACTCTGGTATGACTCTGTATGGATTAGGTCAACTCGGATTTCTGCGTGTGTGGGCTCAGCTTTTCATTGACGTGTGATCAACGTACCCCGTCTTGTGAAGCCAGTCCGACAGTCGGCTTGATGCCTACGACGCCATTTTTATGAGCAGGTCTAATGACTGGTGCCGAGTTAGCGACAAATGTGTGTGGTCAATGAAACAAGGCCATAGTCTTACCACTGCCGTCGGTTTCTGTGCCGAGAGAAAAGGCGATCGCATTGGCAGCCACTCCTACTGCACTGCCTGAGCTACTTCCCATGGGATTGAAAACTAACTTATAAGGGCTTCATGGCTGTCCACCGCGCGGAGAGTATCCCACAGAGTATCCTGTACTCCGCATGTCGGCCCATTCGCTCATTGTGGACTTCCCGAAGAGTACAGCTCCTGCTTCTCTCAAACAAGCAACCACAAAGGCATCGCGAGGTACGATACTGCCGAGTAGTGCATAGCTCCTAACAGTTGTTTCCATACTGTCTTATGTCGCGATGTTGTCTTTGACAGTGAACGGGATTCCATGGAGGGGAACGAGAACTTGGCCTGCTTTTCGTTGTTCGTCCCTTTTGGCTGCGATCGTCATGACGTCCGGATTCAATTGCATTACGGAACTATTGTGATGGAATTATTACTTAGTAAATATGAGCTGAACATTCAGCGCAGGAACGCTAACCTGATGTACTCTTGAGTCTGGAAAGTGCGTTGCATGTAGCACATGACCAGCTGTTGAGACGTCAGAATGCCATTTTCCATGGCCTTCTGCATCTGGTCGATGGTCGCTTCTTCTTAGTTGAAGGTTCCAGCGCAAATAGGCATGCGGAAGAGTTCCGTGAGATTTCCATTCTGCAGGAGCGGAAACAAAGGAGTCACCAAGCTGGTGCTAGCCACAAGTTGGCCAACGGCCGGAGTCACAAGGTATGCCAATACCAGCAACGATCTGGATTGATACCATACGGGTACTTTAAAGGATGGTACAAATAGATGCATCTTTTCTCAGCTTAAGGTAGCAGGACAGGAGATGGCTGGAATAGAGTAAGGAACGAGGGCCAAGTACGAGAATTCATGAATGGTTATTTCGCATGGAATCAGTGTATCTTATAGCCAGCGTGAAAGGCGGAACTTCGAACTGCGACAAGACTCAATTCTTTCTAGAACGATTTGTGGGACTTGGGCTTCGACTCACATATATGTCGCCGGATCTTAATGATGATTGCAATTATCGCCAGAGGCCCAAACCATCATTTCAGCACTTCTGTTTTCGGATCCATCACATTGTGGCTATGCCTCCTTATTAGAGAGTTTGCGATATGCCGGTATCCCACTTTTCTTACAGCTTGTTTCCCTCAGCAAACTGTGGTCTCTGAGACATACGTGCTTGTGGCTAGTGCTCGCTCAATAGTATCAGCTGATTCACGCGTTAGCTGCATTTGAGGAACCAGTGCGTGGATGGCTGATCGATTAATTCAGACTTGCTAGTCCACGGCTGTCTCGCGCACTGGTTGTCTGCGGCCTGATTCGTATTGTGTGTTACATGCATTACATTGAATGCGTCCGTTGAATTTTGAGACATTTCCCGTGCTTGGAGAATCAAGCGAGCTATTCTGGATGACCTCTTTCTGTGATGACCCCATGTCTGCATGCTCAGCATTTCGTCAAATCTCATACATCATGCATTAATGAAAAAGTCTTCTGAGGTATGACGTAGGGCTTCCCCCGAATAACCTGTAGTGCCGGTCTCATGAGAGTAGTGTTTCCAATACTTCCAAGGCATTTGAGCTCAAGTAAAGTCTTTTAATTCAGAAGAGTTGAGGACAGATTCTGATACACCGGAAAGGGATTTAGGCACCAAGCTGCTGAAGTCCATACACACCCATGAATCCATGACTTGAGCCGCTCATATGCTGGTAATGCTCGATTAATATTTCGATTGTTGGACGCAAACTTATACTGCAACTTCCGATGTCTCTTGAAACATTGGTCTGGAAGTTGCGTTCCTTGGCGCTCCAGTCTGCATCACAGTTCTGATCCTCTATCTCTTTGTGGTCTCCCGTAGGTTCGTCCAAATCGAAAACCATCCAAAGACCAGACAAGAATTTTTAGTTCAATATCAGATAACGTACCAAAAACCTGCCCTCAATCTCTTTCCGCATTATCAACATCTAAAGAAGCACCTCACTCTCACAGAGTGTGTATGACAAGCCGAATACGCTGAGAGATCAACATTGAACCAAGGAGAGCAATGTTAATCTCAATTGAGGTACCAGTCGGAGGAAGAAGGCATGTTAATGAGATCCATTGAGCAGCTGGATATCTGTTGTATCCCCTACCTAGTAAAATAAGCCATGCTGGAGTGGCTGAAATAATTCCTGAAGATCATCAAAAGATGGTGGACGGACACATTGAAATTCCGTGGCATCCCAACTTTGCAGATCAATTACCGAATGCTGTCAATGGCCAGCCGTTGATGGGACGTTGCACCACGAGTATCCTTGTCGTCAGCGACTCTAGTCTGAACTTAGCACACCAAATTAGCGGGCAATCGACCTCTCAGAGTCAGGAAACCGGACGATCCGCTTTATGCGCTCCATCAAGATTACGACCAAAGTCGCGAGTCTTCACCTTACAGGTCCGTGATGCCCCCGTCGGGTGCCACACCATCTTCCCTGACGCCCCGCAGCGGGTTCTAGACTGAGACTGACCGTTGAAGAACAGCGTTGCTTTCTTCTTTTTCTTCTGATCTTCCTTCATTTCTCCACGAGGCGTTACCGAGTACCCGGATCACCTTACACTCCCTGATCGTTGAAGTCTCTTGCTCAATCGATTCAGTCCTCAAGGCTCTCCCATTACCCCCGACGAAAGGAAAATGGCAGAACCAACTCCAACTCCTGCCACTTCAACTCCGGCTAGCCCCCAAATTAGAGCCGGGGCTGAGCCTGAGCCCGAGCCCGAGCCCGAGCGGCCCGCTCCCGAAGTGGAGGTAGAAGTCGATCGGGAAGAAAATGACTCGTCTTGGGGCGATGATGAGGCTTCTCGCGCAAGCACCTCGCTCAAGTCAGTCACGTCAACATACGAATGGAAGCACGGTCGCCGGTACCATGGCTATCAATCCGGTTCCTACAATTTCCCCAATGACGAGGAGGAACAGGACCGGCTTGATATGATCCATCATGTCTTCTTCAGGTTGATGAATGATCGCCTGTATCTTGCTCCCATCAAGACAGAGGGACTGAAGGTTCTCGATATCGGCACCGGCACCGGCATCTGGCCTATTCAGTTTGGAGACGAGCACCCCGAGGCCGAAGTGATTGTCGGAAACGACCTCAGTCCCATCCAGCCACAATGGGTGCCACCGAACGTCAAGTTCATCATCGACGACGTTGAGCTAGACTGGGCGGAGCCCGAGCAATACGATTACATCCACTGCCGTTACATGGCAGGTTCAATCAAGGACTGGCCTAGGCTCGTGAACCAAATTTACGAGAACCTGAAACCCGGCGGCTGGGTCGAGTTCCAAGAATCTGCAAACACTCTCTACTCCGAAGATGGCTCCCTCAAGCCGGACAACGCCATGGTCCAAATGATGGACGGACTCATGGAGGCGTGTGAGAAGATTGGGAGAACAATGGACCCGGCGCCGTCCTTTAAGCGCTGGACCGAAGAGGCTGGTTTCCAGAAGGTGGGCGAGCAAAGGTTCAAGCTGCCCATTGGCAGCTGGCCTAGAGACGCCAGATTGAAGGAGGTCGGCACACTTATGGGAGTTAACTTCCTGGAAGGGGTAGAGGCATTCACTGCCGCGCTGTTCAAGGACGTTTTGGGATGGTCTCCAGAGGAGGTCACTGTCCTCAATGCTGGGGTTCGAGCGGCGGTACGAAAGAGAGACGTTCACCCCATCTTCGACTTCATTGTCGTCACTGGCCAGAAGCCTTTGTAAGTTCTATGGCAATCATCAACAGTCTTGAGTGAGTTTGGTGGGCTCTTTTGCGGCATTAGCAGCGCTGGTTAGACTATCTCGAGTTATCATAGCAAAGCGCGTTATTTAAGGGTCCTGCTTCCGTGGTGTTGCTTCCATAACATCTTCGACATGATCCGAAGCTTCCTCGTAAGCATCCACATGAGCCTTTGAAAAGTCTCTAGCCGGTATTCCTCTTGCAAAGAGCATGTCCAACTCCTCGTACGTACGGCCTTTACACTCAGGTAGCCGGAAATATGACCAAATGAAGATGATCCCGGCGGTTCCCGCCCAGAAGAAGCCGGCCTTGCCTTTCAGATTCCACTCTGTAGGGTTCCTTTACATCGGTGATAAGCATCTGTTTTCTCGATCAATATCAGTTTCAGCGAGACGGTACTCACATCATGTAAGTCTGTAGGACTTGTGAGACAATATTGACAAGCTGGTAGGCATTTCGCGATAGCACAACTGTCAGTGGGCGAAGCCGAACCGAAGACGTCTCGCTGATGACGCTATACTGTTGCCTTTATTAGAAACCCTCTTTCTACGCGCCAGGGTGACAGAGAGACTAAATGGACTTGGGTACTTGGGTCTCAGTGACGTACAGTAATAGGTCCAATGGTGAGAGACTATAATCGTCAGCTTCGCCCTCTTGATTTTAGTTTCTCTGATGTAAAAGGAGGTCTCACTCACGTAAATAAAAAGCCAGAAGACACAAAGACCGCCAGATGGCCAAAGGCCCTTCTCGCCAGCGGACACGTCAAGAATGCCTATGATGAACAGGATGACAGTGAGAGCTCCAATGCCAGTAACATATATCGCCCGTCGTCCCCAATGAGTGATGAGCCACCATGATCTAAACATTCAGAGTTAGCTTGACCTTAATTGTCGGAATGTTTAATACCGCGATTCTTACAGAACGGTCCCAAGGAAAGCCATTCCCTTTGCTCCCAGGCTCAGTTCGAACGCATTCGCCGTCTTCATTCCCGCAGTAGTGAAGAAGTATGTCGGGGTGTAAGCGAAGCTGCTGCCAGACATGACTTGGCCTGCAAACGCAACACAGCATATTTCAGTGCGTCGACGATCGATTCCCCTGAAGCAATCGAGGTATGTCACACCGCTTGTCACTCCAGATTCGACCTTGGTTGTGTGAACCATCATTGCTAGCTGGGCATTAATTTGGTCTTGAGTCTTGTTGCGGCTGAGTCGCTCGATGGACCGTCTAGCATCTTCAAGGCGATCTTTTCGGACTAGATACCACGGACTCTCAGGTGCCAGATATGAAACAACCATCAGAGGGACAGGCCAGAGCTTATCAATGGTCTTGTTAGGTGATGCGTATCGACAACTAGTACCAGGTAGACTCTTGGGGCAAACTCACCCATTGAATTGCGAAAGGGATCCGGTAGGCCATCTCGCCTTCAATGCTCAGACAACCGCGGAGCACACCAGCAGCAATAAGCTGACCTGTTGCCCAGCAAAGATTTACCTGACTCGGGTTAGTCGTGACACTTGATGGCAGCCCATAGATACAACACACATATGTAGTCATGTAACCGCGAAGGTTCGTGGGACAAACTTCGGAAGCTATGGCATGACTGGTCAGCAGTGTAGACGGCTTGGAACATAAGTGATGAGGTTTACCATAAGCTGGACTCAGCGTTGCAAAAACACCCCAGGAAAGGCCGCAAAGAATTTGCCCGACTAGAAGCATGGCGGCAGAGTGCGCAAAGAATACCACGAAGATGAAACAGTTCAAGAAGAACATGGCGCCGATCATGACCCACCGATAGCCGTATTTGGATGCGAAGTATCCATTCATCAACCCGCCTGGCCGGTGTCAGTCTCCAATCGGGGGTTGGCCAACAGATTGGAAGCACTAACCAAAGATGGCACCGACCGTGGAGGCCATCGTTAGACCTGTTTGCCACGGTCCAGAAACCTGAAAGCCAATGTCCTCGCCGTACCAACTGCCATACTTCTTTTGAAACTCTGGGTAGGCAAAGAAGTTGTTGATCAGGATGACATCGTATCTAAAAGGAATCAATGCTGAGCAAGTATTTTAGGATTGTTAAAGACTCAAAAACAGAGATTACCCACCCTTCCATCACAATAGACATGGAGATCATAACAGACCAGAATACCGCCTTACGGTTCTCGCTGAATGCCTGCCGAAGGGTCTGCGCATGCTCATCGTCTGAAGCTTGCTTGGCTTCGTAAATAGCCGATTGACCAAGCTTTTCTTCGACCTCATTTTCAGCTGCCTTGCGTAGAT